GCAGTATCCACTGGTGAATGACAAGGTGAGGCAAAACATACTAGACTGCGTCACAGCACCCACCTACACACGTAAGACCTGGGGGTGGGGGAGGCTGAGGCTAATAGGGGGTTGCATGGGCTCCCCTGTTGGGCTACTGCTCCCACTTGTGAGCATAGGAGCTAGGACTGAGAGCAGACCAGGCTGGGCATGGCTACAAAACTTCCCGGTATGTATGTGAGCTGGGTTAGGAGGAGAGCCAGGCTGAGCTAAGCAACTTTATCTACTGGTGCATGCATGAGCCAGAATAAGTTCGGGCTGGTTTGGGTTTGCTGCAGCATAGGCTAGCAGGCGCTAGGGCTGAGAGCAAGTCCTGTAAGCCTAGACTGCAGAACCACCTGGAAAGTACAAGATCCTGGACTGGGAGTGGGTCTAGTAGGGAAACTGTGGGCACCCTTCTGATAGGTTGCACCTCACACTGGTAAGCATGGGAACCCGGGCTGGGGGTGGGCCTGGCTGGACAGGCAGTGGCACCCATCAGCATGAGTATGGGCTGAATAATGGGGTTTGTCAGGCTGAGCTAGGCTCCAACACCCATTGATGTGTGTGAGAACTGATGGGGATAGGGATGGATTAGACTAGTCCACTGTTTGCACAGGTACACATGAGAACCAGGACTGGAAGCAGGCCTGGTAGGGGTTATTGGGGGTTGCCCAGACTGTGTCACAGTTACAACTATTGTGCCTGAGGGCTGTGTTTTGGGCAGGAATGGGCTGGGCTGCAACATCCATTGGCTTGTATATGAGATGGGGCTGGGGACAAAACTGTCCAGGCAACTGCAACCACCAGTGTGTGTGTAAGCTGGTGTTGGTGAGACTGAGCCAGACCCTACATCAGATGGCACATTCAGGAGTCAGGTCTGAGGTCACCTCTAGTGAGGTTTCTTTGGGGACCACTGGACTCAGAATTTTAACCACGTGGAAAATCATAGGATCTGTGGTCTGACAGTGGAGTGCATGTGTCACAACTAGGCCTCCTTGGATGTTGAAGTCGGTGCGATGGACGGCATGCCCAGATGCACATCGGGGACATAACAACCAGTTCATTGGGGCCTGCAGAGGACGTCTAATACAATGGAGGGCAGAATAAATTGGATAGCTCTCCTAGCCTAGCTTTGACATTGAGTATCTGACTGTGTGGAGACTCTAAGATGGACTATGTCAGGCAATGAAACTTGAAGGGATTTCCTCATCCTTGGAGCAACAAAATCAACAGCATTTCAGGACTACCAGAATCACTTAAGCAGTACCCTCAAAACATGCTCCACATTTGGGGACCTTGGGATGACAGCGAGTGGCTGTCCCCCATTCCCAGGTACTTGTGTAGGTTCCTGGGAGCAGCCGTCCCCTATTTCTCCCTACTTTCCTCAGATACAGGAAAAAAAATTGGAAATGGTTTTCTCATCCACTTTCCTTTATCCCTCCACCTTTCCCTATCCTAAACATTGGTTCACATGGGTATGCATCCTTCTTAACTATGCAAGGATCATCAATATAAAACAAATCAATATAAAACAAATATATATATATATACATACATATATATATGGAAGACTTCTCTGGCTATACACTTTTTACTCCCCCTGCGCAGCTCTATAGAGAAAGGAAAAAAGAAAAACGAACAAGAGCCACCTGAATTGGAGCCTCTGTAGTGGTCTGGCCTGAAATATCTTTACCCTTTCATTCTTGTCTTGACAGCTACTCTATCCCATTTGAGGTTTTTAGGTACCCAAATTGGTGAGTCGGGCTTAAAGGGATCATACAAATAGGGGAGGGAATTGGTTTACACATAGTAAAGCAATTTTGGTATTAATCCTCTTCTATAGGAAAAGCCTGGTTTCCCTCACATCCCAGCTCTGGTTCCTGCATATTTACACGCGGAGAACATCGTGCGAACTCCACACATACACCTGGTAATGGTTTGGTATTAGCGCAGTGTCTCTATTCATCTCTGTTTTATTTATATCTTAATCGAAATCTACCTTTGATCATTCAAGTCAAGAAAGACTCTTGGGGCCCAGCGCGGTGGCGCAGTGGTTAAGGTCCTCACCTTGCATGCCCAGGATCCCATATGGGCGCCGGTTCTATCCCAGCTGCCCCGCTTCCCTTCCAGCTCCCTGCCTGTGGCCCGGGAAAGCTGTCAAGGACGGCCCAAAGCTTTGGGACCCTGCACCCGCGTGGGAGACCCGGAAGAGGCTCCTGGCTTCGGACCGGCATAGCATTGGCCGTTGCGCTCACTTGGGGAGTGAATCATCGGACGGAAGATCTTCCTCTCTGTCTCTCCTCTCTGTATATCCGCCTTTCCAATAAAAAATAATAAAAATCTTTAAAAAAAAAAAAAAGGCCAAGATGTTTGATGTTGAGCAATAACTTAGGGCTGAAAAGCTTTCTGGAGTCTAGCCCTGATTCCGCCCATATCGTGCAGAAAATTAAGGGCCAGAACAGCAGGTGGCAGAGACCCCAGCTTTTCTAGCCCTTATTCAGACTATCCTATCTTAAAAAAAAAAAAAGATTTATTTTTTATTGGAAAATCAGATATACAGAGAGGAGAGACATATGGCCAGAGCTGAGCCGTTCTGAAGCCAGAAGCCCAGAGCTTCTTCCGGTTCTCCTACACAGGTGCAGGGTCCCAAGGCTTTGGGCTGTCCTCTACTGCTTTCCCAGGCCACAAGCAGGGAGCTGGGTGGGAAGAGGGGTTACCAGGACAGGAACTGGCGTCCATATGGGATGCAGGCGCATGCTAGCTGAAGACTCTGTCCACTAGGCTATCGCGCCGCAGACTATCCTATCTTGGCCTCCCAACCCCTCCCCTAACCCCCCGGCCCCACCTCTTCTCCCCCGCCCCGCCTGCCGGCCTCCAGACTGCAATTCGCCGGGCCTTAAGGGCTCTGAAAAGTGAACTTGTCAGTATTCGTCCGCTTAGTCACGCTGACACTGACTTTCAGACGCCACGGGCAGCAGAGGGGAGGGCAGAAGGTAAGCGTTGTTAGGGGCGGTTGCTAAAAGAGAACTAACACTGAGCCACTCTGATATTAATCTTACTTCTCTCCGTTTGCCGCTGTTTTCCGTATACAGATTCTGACGCAGCGCACTTAGAAAGGGCGGGGCGGCGCCCTCTGACGTAGGATAATGGCGCTGGGCAAAGTTTGGTATCACTCCGCTTCCGTAAGCCGGATCCCTTTAAAAATTGCTTAGCGCCGCCCGCTGCTGATTTCCGCGAGGGCGTGAGGCGCTTACCGGACTGCGGCGGAAAAGGTAGATGTTGGTAACTGCGTGCGGGTTCCTGGAGAGTCCTGAGAATGGGAACCCGCAAAGAATACCCCAAAGTGACAAGGCAGCAGTTTGCCAGTCTTGGCAGTTTATGTGATAAAGGAAGTATCTCGTCGTAAGTCCCAGGTGCCGGTTGAGCCCGGAGAGTCGTCGCCATTGTCTCGGGTCCTTATATTCTTCTGATTATCCTTCCTGTGTGCCACGACACCCTTGAGGCAAGGAACCAAGAAAATTGCCCCTGATTCAAGCAGAGCAGGTTAGTGAGAAAGGACGTTGCTTGGGAGATGAATTTCGGAATGAACATGGGATGCATGACTTGGTTACCTGAGGTGGGCAGTGAGACAGAGACACCGGGATTAGATAAAATGATTTTACTTTTGCTAGCTTGATTTCCAGACAGGTGCCCCACTTCCAGTCATGTTCGGGAAGGGAAAGGAATGTAGTAGCAGCTTCTAGTCCTGAGCTGTGTAAAAAGAGGTTGTAAGTGTTTGATAATCAAGACCTTGGTTATGATAAAAGTCCCATGTCCTGGTTAATGGTCTGAACATGAAGTCTTTTCACTGTCTTTTCGTTGGCTCTGTGTGTGTGGTGTATTTAAATGTATAGACGTGCTTGTAATTGTTGTGTACCTCATTCCTTAAAGAATCTGTAAAGGGCATCAGACTTCAAGGGGAGGGGCAAAGAAAAAAAATGGCCGGTTTTAATAGAGTGAGGCTGCTTTAAGGTGGTAGATGACTAAGACTAGAGCAGATAAGGGTGTAAGGGAGCCTCCACATCTCTCTGTCAGATTTAAAAACATGTCTTGTCTTTATATATGTTATGTTGCAGAAAATGATAGATTTTAAGGGCAGGAAGAAAACAAGAATTTATGAGACATTTTAGAAATAATTTTCATTATTTTCTCAGCTTCCATGGTTTGTAGTAAACTTCATTTTTATGAACACCAGTACTATCTTGCAAGGATGTTTGAGTTTCCTCTACATAATACCGTCCGACTTTAGGAATGGAGCGAAGAGGACTGGAGATTTAGGAAATTGGAAAGAAAAGGAGGTAGGGAGTATTGACAAATAGGTACCTGTCTCCAGAAAACATAGTGCCCCAGGTGCCTGGTTTCTGCCAAGGACTCAATCTTCATTGTCTGCTGTGTTTCCATTTATTTGTCTTTGTGCTTGGACTCTCTGTAGATATATCTGTCCCCATACTTATGAATCTGTCATTCGTTGTGAATGTTTGTACATGGCAACCCATCCTGAAATCAGAATAACAAAGAAGGTAAAATTACCTTGTAATATGTGGAGGGTGATGTGAGGGTACAGGGACATGGATGACTGAGACCAGAGAATTCGATCTCTTATAGTGTAAGCTTACCGATGGCCCCTGTCTGCCTTCTCCTCTGCTGATTTACTTGGGACTTATAAAAATGGGTGGTTGAAGACTTGCCATTCCCACTGTCCACTTGTTTTCCTTGCTAATTCTAAATTAGGGAGGTGCAAAGGCAATCGCTGATAAGAAAAATCGTGGGCACTTAGGGGCGGTAGAGCAGCCTTGAAGTAGGACATAGGAAGAGGGGACCAAGAGGAGAGATGAAAGAAATGGGTTCTATTTGGAAATGCAAGATTAGCAGCCAGGGACTAAAACTAATTTACCAGGAGATCAGTTTCTATATTCTCCTGTTTGTTTATTTGCCTTTAGGTCTCCTATAGGTCTGCTATAGGGCTTGTCACCATTGGAAACGAGGAGAGGAGGAGAAAATTACTCCAGATCAGTACAGGTTGGTATGAGTGTGGGGAATTCTTGGGTAGACCTGTAGAATGGGATAATGGAGCTCTGCTTGACTCTAAAAGGGTACAAAAGCCAGTCTTGGGCTTCCTCAGCCTGTCTTTTTCATTCCCACACAGCTTTTCTACTTTCTCTGTCCCTGTGTAGTGTCTAGAAAGGAGACTGGTAGTGCTTGAAGGTATCAAGTGTGGATCGAATGTAGAGGGAGTTTGCTAATTATGTACCTATATACCTTTCCTACCTAGCACTGAATCTCCTTACTTTCCTGTGTCTGTACAAGATACTGTGAGGAGAAAAAAGAATGGAAGAGACTCAAAGCCCCGTTTCCTTCCTTCACTCTTAGGTTCAAGTTGAACTTCAGTGACAGATCTGGTGGCCTTGGAGTTACTGAAGACCACCACCCTCCACAGGGCTGCACCCAAGCACAGCCGTCTTTTTCTACCTTAAGTGAGCTTCCTGTGCTTGTTGTCTATATTATTGGTAGAGACTGTAGTTGGAGAGGGGGCTGAGTGACTGCTGGACTTTTTGTGAAAACATCAGCCTGGGACTTACTTTCTTCAAGGGTCGAGGGGAAGAGTTTCATAACTTGGCCTTGTCTTTAACTTGAACCATGATTCACTCTGGGGCTAGAGCAAGAGCTAGAGGGCCTGGCCAGAGAGCTAGAGTCAGTGATCCTGCCAATACTAAAGTGAAGGCTGAGATCCAGGCAGCAGCTGAAGCAGCACCAAAAACAGAATCAGTAATGCAGGCCAGTGCTGGGGATGGATCAGTGGTCAGGACACAGACAGTGATTGAGACTGTGGCCATGGATACGACAAGGAAGGGAAGGAAGATGGAAGATAAGGTTAAGACTAAAGTCAAGACTAAGACTAAGGCAGAACCTAGTAAACTGTCCCAAACGAATTCAAAGGCCATAGCTATGTTTAGGGTCGGTGGCATAACCAAGTCTGAAACCAAGGCTGTTGATGACAGTGAGAAAAATATCAAATCTTGTGTCAAGGCTAATGATAAGGCCAATATTGGGTCCAAACCTGAGAAAACTGAAGAGGTCAGCATTAAGTCCAGAGCTAAGGGAAAATGTAATACTGGGATCAAGTCAGGTGATGAGAATGAAAAAGATGTCTGCTCCTGGTTCTGGACTGGAGAAGAATCTAGTGTAGGATCTTGGTTCTGGCCTGAAGAAGAGATCCCTCCTCAAGTTTATAAGCCACCACCTAAGATTGAAGAAGAACCTGAGCCTATACATGAGCCAGTCCTTGCTATAAAACAAAAAGCAATAGCATGGTCAAGGCCCCGATATATTGTACTAGTCCCAATTGAGGAAGGGGAGAAATCCTTGCCTCCAGAAGGGAACTGGACCCTGGTAGACACCTTAATTGAAACTCCTCTGGGAATTCGGCCTCTAACCAAGATCCCACCTTATGGTGGACCTTACTTCCAGACCTTAGCTGAGATCAAAGATCAGATTAGGGAAAAGGAAAAGTATGGACCAAATCCAAAGGCCTGCCGCTGTAAATCAAAAACCTTTAGTTTAGAACCAGAAGAGTTTGATAAGCTGGTTGCTCTACTTAGGTTAACTAGGGATCCTTTCATTCATCAAATAGCCACAATGATAATGGGTGTCACTCGTGCTTATCCATTTACCCAGGATATAGTTCATGATGTAGGTATTACTGTGATGATCGAGCACTTGATCAATAGTCCCGATGTTAAAGAACGCCCTAGAGCCTTAAATATGATGCGCAATGATTCTGAGTCCTATGACGAATCAATAATTGCAGAGTTATACATACAACAACTTTGTAAGGACATAAATTCTTTTTACTTGAATTCCCCTTTGCAACTTGCTGGACTAAAATTATTAGCTCAAGTTAGTGTGGAATTTGAGTACCACTATATAATTACCAATTACATTGAAGATTTACTCCTCTTTCTAAACAGGGGAAATGTCAAAACCAAGTTTTACGTTTTAAAAGTTTTTATGTGCTTGTCTAAAAATCAGGCTAATACAAGAGATCTCATCAGTGCTGAGGTACTGTCATCGTTGCTTATACCTTTTAACAAGAATGAGTCAAAGGCCAATATTCTTAATATCATTGAAATTTTTGAGAATATAAATTTCCACTTCAAAAAAAGGACAAAGCTATTCACTAAGGAAAAGTTCACTAAAAATGAACTTTTTTCCATATTCCAACAAACAAAAGTGCTGCATCAGAAACTCCTAGAATTATCAGATCACAGTGATCCTGAAGTGAGAGATAAACTCATACGGTTAATACTCAAACTCTGAATAGCTGTGTGTCCTCGCATAGCCTTGAATTTTTTTATAATGTGGTTGCAATGTAAACCCAATGTATATTATTAAGGATAAATTTGGTACTTATATTCTTTGTGTTGACTGAAAGAGTTCAGCTAATCTTGATAGACTGAATATTTGTTTCTTTGTTGCTGTTGTATATAATAAAAATTGGCATATTTTTAGTATTTTTGCAACTTGACCTGCTGATGGACCTATTCATGCTGAATAAGCTATATATATGGATATAGATATATATATATAGATATACCTGTTCTTTATATTGATATAACTGTGTTCTTTTTGAAATTTCATTTATATTTTGTTAATAAAGTTGTATGCCAAAACTGGTGAGAATATTGTCCTAGTTCTTCAGTTGAAATCTAGTCAGAAGCATAAAACACAAACAATATAAACATTATAAAGAGCACTGTCTGTGTGTCTTTCTGTAGGGTTCGGGCGAGGGCGTGAACTAATGAAATTGTAATGTCAGATCTTTTAGTTTCACTATGTTCAAGTATAATCAATTTAAAAAAAAAGATTTATTTATTTTGGTTGAAATAAGCAGATTTACAGAAAGAGAGACAGAAAGATCTTCCATCCGTTGATTCATTCTCCAAATGGCTGCAATGGCTAGAGCTGAGCTGATCCTATTCAGTAGCTAGGAGCTTTTTCCAGGTCTTCCACATGGGTGTAGGCCCCCCAAGGCTTTTGACTAATCTCTACTGTTTTCCCAGGCCATAAGCAGGGAGCTGGAAGGGAAGTGGAGCAGCCAGGACATGGACCGGTGCCTATATGGGGTCCTGGTGTTTGCAGGGGGAGTATTAGCCAGTTGAACTATTGTGCCATGCCCAAGTGAAATTACCTCCTACGCAAGGAGACAGCAGTTACTGCTGTAGATTATGGATGATAGGACTTCATTCTGTTAAGGTTTCAAATGAGAAATAAAACTTTTAGCTTGACAGCTCTGGGGAAGTGGATAACAGACCTAGGAGGAAGGGAACGTAGTTGCTTTCATTCCAGTGGGAGTTGCAAAACTTTCACACATCAACATGTCTTGAAAACTTTTTAACATCTAAGAGGATTTCTGCTTCTCATACCCCATTCAATAAAGCCATAAACAATTGCACAGAGTATGATCTGAAGGAATCCAGTCCCACTGGCTCCCCTAGCTGTGGTTATCAGATTGGTCCCCTCCACATGCAATCTTATGCCTCAGAGGATGATCTTTCTGGTGACAGGGCCTGCCTTGGTGACTGTTGTTTTTGATCCTTGTTTTTGTTTTCTGGCTAACATTTTTTGGACTTGGTGATTTTTATTCATTCTTGGAGGTAGCTCCTTCTTTGTGCTAATTCATTCTGGTTGGAGCTCAGCTCCATGTATAACACAGCTGCAGAATACTAAAATTCCTTTAGGGGTATATAGTTAGGAAGAAATTAATACTCCTATTTTACAGTGTGCAACTCATAGAGCCTACACTATGCCATCTATGCAACCTCTTTTTTTGTTTATGTTTAACAAAGCTAGATCCTGGATAGGAGTTTTAGCATAGAATGACTTTCTTTAATTTACTTGTAAATATTGGGAGATAGAAGTGTTAGGATCAGTTTACAAATGTTGCTGTGTCTGTTGACCTTTGTCCCTAATATTTTACGTATGAGGGGAAGACCTAAATGAAAAAAAAATATCTGCATAGTGTAATACGCCACTAATTTTCATAGCTATCTCTACTTTAATTCAATTTAAGGTCAAGGGTGAACCTATCTTTTATACATCCAGAACTTAAAAAGGATAATCTACTACATAATGGAATTAAAAGTAAAAAATTAGGTTAGGATTCTTTTGCAGTGTGAAGCTTCAATGTTGATGATTTTTGAAGGTTTTTTTTTTCTTTTTTTAGATTTATGGACAGGAAAGACAGGGAGAAAGATCTTCCATCTACTATTTCACTCCCCAAATAACTGCAATGGTTAGAGCTGAGCTGATCTAAAGCCAGGAGCCAGGAGCTTCCTCTGGGTCTCCCATGTGGGTGCAGATCCTGAGGCTTTGGGCTGTCCTTGTCTGCTTTCCCAGGCCACAAGAAGGGAACTGGGGCCCAGCGCGATGGCACAGTGGTTAAGGTCCTCACCTTGCATGCCCGGGATCCCATATGGGCGCCGGTTCTAATCCAGGCAGCCCCACTTCCCTTCCAGCTCCCTGCCTGTGGCCCAGGAAAGCAGTCAAGGACAGCCCAAAGCTTTGGGACCCTGCACCCGCGTGGGAGACCCAGAAGAGGCTCCTGGCTTCGGATGGGCATAGCATCAGCCATTGCGCTCACTTGGGGAGTGAATCATCGGACGGAAGATCTTCCTCTCTGTCTCTCTTCTCTGTATATCCGCCTTTCCAATAAAAATAAAATAAATCTTAAAAAAAAGAAAAAAAAAGAAGGGAACTGGATGGGAAGCTGGACCTGCTGGGATTAGAAACAGTGTCCATATGTGTTCCTGGTGCATACAAGGCGAAGACTTTAGCTGCTAGGCTACTGCACTGGGCCCAGTTGTGTCCATCTTTTTGGCTGTCACAAAGCTGCAATAAACATTAGAGTACATGTATCTGTCCAGGGCCCCAGTTTAAATTATTTAAGGCATACATCTAGAAACTGGAATTAAGCATTTACCCAGTGGCCAGATCATAATCCATCAACAGTGTAAAACAGTTCCAGTTTATTTGCATTGTTCCAAACTTTCATTATCATTTATTTTTAAAAATTTTTTTATTGGAAAATCAGATTTGCAGAGTGAAGGAGAGACAGAAAGATCCTCTGGTTTACTGCCTAAGTGGCTGCTACGGCCGGAGCTGAGTTGATCTGAAGCCAGGAGCCCGGAACTTTGGATCACACATTCCCAGTCCTTAAGCAGAGAGCTGGAAGGGAAGTGGAGCAGCTGGGACACAAATTGGCTCCCATATGGGATCCTGGCACATGCAAGGCAAGGACTTTAGCCACTAGACTATCGCACCAAGCTCCATTAGCTTTTTAATAGATATCCTAGTAGATGCTATCTCATTGTGATTTTCATTTTCGTAATGGTTAGTAATGCTGAATATCCTTCTACATGTCCATTGGTCATTTGCATATCTTTGGAATGCTATATACTTAAGTTATTTGCCTCTTTACAATTTTAAAAATTTTAAATTTACTTTAAAAACAGAGAAGGAGACAGAGAACACGATCAGATTTTCTACTTCTGACTGGATCACTTCCTAAATGCCTGCAACAGCCAGCCAGAGATACACCAGACCAGAAATGAAACTCTATCTGGGTCTCCCAAGTACGAGACCCACCTCCCAAGTAGGTGGCCGGATCCCAGGCAGTTGAAGCAAAATCCATTGCCTCCAAGCTGCGTAATCTATAAGCTGAATTGCATATGGAGTGGCTAGGATTCACACCAGTAACTGGTATGGAATGCAGGTATACCTAGTGGTATGTTGACACACTTTGCCAAAAACCTGTTCAGATTGTTGATTTCTTTTTTTGCTATGTTTGTCGTGTTTTGGGAGTTGTTTATATACCCTGGATACAAGCCCTTTATATGATTTTCAGGTGTCTTCTGTAGTATACGTTGTTTGTTCACTTTTAATGAAGTTCCTTGGTCATAGAAGTTTGCAATTCTGGTAAAGTCCCAAGTCCAATTCCTCTTTTTGTTTTTTCTTTGTCACTGATGTCTTGGTGGCATTGCCAAATGAAAAAAAAATCATAAAAATTTAACCCTGTGTTTTAAGAGTTTTGTAATTTTTACTTATGTTTAGGTTGTTAATCCATTTTGAGTAAATTTTTGTATATGTGTAAAGTCATTTAGTTTAATTCTTAAAAAAAAAAATCCAGTTGTCACAGTACCATTCCCCCTGGAATGTTCTTGGCCTCCTTGTGAAAATCAAGAGCATAATCATTTTAGTTTTATTTCTGGTATCGATTTTATTCCGTGTGTGTAATTCTATTTTCTACCAGTGTTGCTATGCATTCGTTACTGTAGCTTTGTAATAATTTTTGAAGTCAGGAAGAGTTAGTACTCCAGATGCTCCTGTTTTTGTTGCTCTGAATCCCTTCTATATGAGTTTGAAGATAATTTGTTCTGACTTATAAAAATAGGTATAGTGGGCCCAATGTTGTGCTTAAGCTGCTGCTTGCAGCACAAACATCTCATATGGGCACCTGTTCTAGATCCAGCTGCTCAATGTCTGATAAAGCTTCCTGCAAATGATCCTGGAAAAGCAGAGGGAGATGGCCCAAGTATTTCAATTCCTGTAGGCAACTAGTAGACGAGAGGTAGCTCTGGGCTTCTGACTTAAGCCTAGCACAGCCCTAGTCATTGTGGACATTTGGGGAGTGAACCATATTTAAATTATATTTTAATATAAGTATCTATGATTTACATATAGATATTTTATAATGAAATCACCTCAGTTATTGAGGACATTTCAACATTTTTATGCTTTGTCTTAACCAAAAGGCCAAGAAGCAGTTCCAGCATTTTTATATGCATGGACATAAAGTCAATATTATGGTAATATACTTTTTAAATTTTAAATTTTATTTTTAATATTATTAACATAATTGAGAGGGGTGCATGCCCATATGGGCTGCTGATTAGGCTGGAGGATGTGGAGATATGGAGGAAGGTGGGTGAGATAAGTGTTTCAGTGTTTTTTCCCCCTCTGGTGTCCACGGAGTGGGGAGATAGGGAAATGAAGGAGGCCATTCTTCGCTGTCAAACTACATCAGCACCCAGGAATGAGGAAGTCATTTGATAACATCTTAGAGACCTTGATGTGGGGCAGAGTGTTCCAGGATTTTTACATGAGTGGTCTTGATAGTTCTGAGACATTGTTTGCTTTGTAGCACAAGGGTTGAGAAAACCTAGCATCTATTGGCTGGCCCGGTCTACTTTGGTGTATCCACTGACCCAGACATTTACTGCAAAACCTGGACAGGAGAGTTGTTTAACCTGTTCTGCTTTCTGTCTTTTGATGAGGTACTCAATGTCCTCTGTTGGTTTAGATGAGCTGGCTTTGTGTCTATCGTGTGCATCTGCATTTGTTCTCTATTCCATGGGTGTCAGCAACTGAGGAGGCCTAATCCCAATACAAACACTCTTAAGGTCAGACCACAGACCACATATCTTGTGCTTTTCCCTGTGGGTGGGCTTTGAATCTAGCAGTCCAGTTAGTTTCTTGAGTCCCTCAAGAAACCTTGCCTGGGATAGTCTCAGGAATTCTTGTGTGTGCCAGCTAGTACAGGGTCATGTTCAGCCTGACAAATGTACCAACCAACGTACAGATTGGTAGATTCAGCTGCCTGATCAGTTCCATCCCT